GCCTCTGAATCAACCTTTCTAAACCGTTGTAAGCTCCACTAGCTACAAAAAGAATATTCGTAGTATCAACTTGAATAGTTTCGCCACGCAATTTCCGAGGCGAGTTTCTTTCAGGAACATTCACTATAGTGCCTTCCAACATTTTTAGCATACCTTGCTGTACACCTTCACCACCAACATCCCTAAATAAAAACAACTCGTGTCGTTGAAGTCGTTTAGTTTGAGGACTAATTCACAAATCTCACCTTAATTGATGTATGCCGGGCACCGCTCCGATTTTATCTACTTCATCAAGAAACACAATTCCAATTTGTGCTTTCTCAACACTGTAGCCAGCATCTGAAACAAACATTTTATTAAATAGCCATTAACAATTAAATTCGATTTCACTAAACACCTTGGAGTAGCTTTCCAATAACGGATTCAATATCCTCCCCTACATAACCGGCTTGTGTTAAAGTTGTACAATCACAAATGGCAAAAGGAACATCTAGGCACTGAGCAATAGTCTGAGCTAAAAGGGTTTTTCCTAGAACAATAGATTATTAATGAAAGCACTTGATTGAAAAATGTAGAAAATTACCCGATCCAGTAGGGCCCAGCAGTAAAATGTTACTCTTCTCCAACTTCAGCTCATGTGTAGTTCGGTCCAAAATATCAGAGCCGATTGCGCTTTGCGAAGTAGTCTTGGTGTAGGGCGGCTCTGTAGGACTAAAACTAAGCCCAATAGGAGCCTGCCCCATGCCTGTTATATGGAGCAAATCTGCGGTTAAATGAAATAAAAAAACTGTTTCAGAAAGCATGATTTCAAATTTAGGAAGAAGCGTTACATCTATTGTACAAAATAAAAACACTGATAGTGAAAACAGAAACCATGCAGAATTTTTTTACATAAACAAAGAAAAACGGGCAACTATTACAGTTATAATTTGCGTGGTTCTCATTTTGAAAAACTTTCAAAAAGCTAAATATTTTACCTCGATGAGTCATATTTTGATGAGGTCCTTGTTCCATCACAGACATATCCTGTCTGCTGTTACCTAGTTGATTGGGAGTGTTGTTGTATATCCTTTTGTAATGATTGTATACTGCTACAGATAAAACCTGCAGCAAATTAGCAAATATTAATATATACAGTTTTTTTACTTAGTCAAGCACACCTTTTTGGCATATTCCTGCCCGACCACATGTTTGTTCAAGTACTCATAAATCTTCTTAGGCGGTGGTGGAGGTTTCCTGTATTGACCATTCTTCAGGTCTACGCCCTCTTTCTTTTTGCTATCAACCTCGCTCAGTACCACAAAGAAATGGTGGCATTTCTCGCACTTTACAAATCTGAAATAAACTGTAGATCAATCCAAAGAAGTTGTCGATAATTGACGTTGAAAATCCCATACTTTACAATTAAACTAGATAGATATCTATTTACCTCGTAGAGCTAACAAAAGTCTCTACATGCGTACACGGATCGCCACATTTCGGACATGAGAGGGTGTTTTTGTTTTTGCCATTTCCTCCTCCACTGGCAGTGGAACTACTTGGAGGTTGAGTAGTGCTGGTAGGCGGTTCTCCAGCTCCAATAGTTTTCGAAAGTACAGCAGTAGTGGATATGTTTTTACTTGGGAGTTGTTGTTTTAAGTATATGGCAGACAAGAGACCTGAGAAATCACGATATGTATTTTTATACTCTAGATTTATTTTTTTTAATTTTTAGTAGGTATAATTAGTAGATATTTTGGCTATCGTTAATTAATATTAGGTATTTAGAAATCAAATCAGTATTTTTCGGGGTTGTATTATTTCAACTTGCTTTAAGTTGTGTACGTAAATTCCGAGTGCAATAAAGATACGGTCAAGGGTTAAATTTCCTCCAAAATAAATAAAAAAGAACAATGATATAAATCATAACAGCAAACATACAATGAAGCAGTTGCATCAATAGGAGATCGAATAAGTTGTATCAAGTCCAATGTCTCAAAAATATCAGAGAGAAAGGTCAGGCACATAACACAAGCTCATTATTTTTAAACCGGCTCATTACTAGTATACTATTTTGATATGAGAAGTTTTTTGGAAGTGTATAAACATTATTGTTTGGCTGCAGCTTTAATGTGCTGAGAAATACGCGCTTGATTTGAATTAGTTTGTTAAGCGTAGGCTAAGTTAACTTCAAATTACTATGCCAACTATTATTTAGATATATTAATATTTTGATCATAGAAACAATATTGTGCCCAACGGTTTTCATGAACATCTGAAAGGATGTTGAATAACACTAAACAACTTTTCTCAATTTCTCATTATTTAATTAATTAATGGATTACTCATTTAATTTATTCAATAAACACTTATTGACTTTGAGCACGGACTCGTAAAAATAAACTGTTTTCATCTCGCTCTATAGGTATAAACAAAAACATTGATTATGCCAAGAACTTTAATTTCCACGTCACTAATAAAGTATTACACAATGTATTTGGCTGTCAACCAAACTGACGAAAACGATAATTTTAAAGTTATTATTTTCAATTTTTATAAATTTCCACTTTTTTATATATAGCTTGCAGTTAGCCCACTGTTTATCAATGTGAAATAGATGTCATTGTTTTAACAATTTTGCAATATTAATACTTACATTTTTATTTATTTGAATAAATTTGAAAATTTAGTGTATATTTTTCAATTAACTGTAAAACCATATAAGTATTGCTTCGGGTTTTTCAATGTCATACTTTTTCCTGTATTGGAATGTACGTCTAACTACTAATAAGAAGAAAATTAATCTGCAAAGAGCAATCTATTTTTCGATGTACATGAAAACAAGCATATATAATTAAGAATAAGTTCGATTTGAAAGAAGATTATTCGTTCTCATTGAGCCAGAATAAATTGCTTACACTGAAATATTACAGTTACGCCACAGGTAGATATAGAAAAATCCTATTCAGCTGTAATTGCATGAGTAAGTGTGTCAGTATAATAAACAACGGTAAATTCAAACCAATGAATATTCGACTTTTAAAAGCAAACATAATCAGTATTGAAAACTATGTAAAACTATAAAAAGATAAAAGCCAGTTTTATTTAACTTATTGATTCGTTAAACTCGTAATTTATCTCTTTGAGTGCGCCCAGGGATAAATTAATTCCTTTCGTTTTTGAACATTGCATATTACGCCCAAATTTTCAATTGTTGCTCTACTCGTTTTATTAGTTTTCTTTTTCGGCTACAAATACTGTGTTGTATTCAGTTTCGTGTGCCTGTTCTTGTGCGCGTTCTGAATTAAGTTTGTAGTTTTTCAATATTTTTGCGTTTTCCTTTTAAATTTTGCTCCTTGGACCAATTTAATTCTAGATCTGATAACTCTTTGCAGTTTTCTTCTTTTACACTAGCTTGCTGCTTCCATTACAATACGTTTCAAGTTCTCTTTCTTGAGCTGGTCTATGCTAAATCATCAATAATTCTCTTATGACGTTGATTCTTATTACTTGAGTACCTGAATGTTGAAATTTTTGTCTGCTTGTAATCTTCTCTAGTCTATTACATATCTTCTCTACTATTCATTCATGTGATTGTTGGTCTGTCATACTTACTAACTCGCATCAGCGTGTAGATGAGCTTTACCCACAAGATTTGATTGCATTTTTGCAACAATATCCAATGAAAATTGATGTATAAAAGTAGATTCAACAGTAATCAAATTGTATAAAAGATTGCACGTATGTTGCACTTGCTACCAAATACTTTTTGAAAGTTTTTTAACTTAACTAAACTTAAAATAAAAAATTTGTTAAAATTTAGGCAAATTATCACCAAGTGCTGAATTCGCACAGTAAATTAGCATTCACAGATCAGAAACGTGTTTTCATAATATTAGTGGCATTGGTCCTGAATAGCGTTTAGTGTCAAGGCTCAGATTATAAAAAAACCTGTTTTTAGAGAACATTTAATATTTTATCATATGGCTTAAGAAAATTTATATTTTCACTTTTTCAGATAAAGTAGGTAAATAAATGTTTGACAAAATAAAGACAGTTTTGTTTGTTTCATATGAGATCATTTCTGTTGTGGCGGTTCTTACGTGCATTTTATATAATACTTTAGGCTAGTTCACCTTGATTGCATAAATATGTTAATAGCATGTAAATATTTCCCAGACAACATTTAAGGTTTCAGTGGGATTTTAAAATAGTAAATATAATACTACTAATTTGAGATCCACTGTGCCAAACATTACAATAATAACATTAATCGTCACGATCACCAACAAGGTGTTCAAGCTGTTTACAAAAAAATACAAGCAAATTAAAGCGCAATTAAAATATACTAGGTGTATTTTGGACTAACCTTGTTGGAACTTTGAATTTCTGGCTACAAAAGCATATTTTCCGGCTGTGGCCAAACTGCACCGAACACTAGACATCTTGAAATAAGACTCGGCAAGTCAATTGAATTTGTTTAAATTAAAACTATGAAAATCGTATGTTTTCAAACACGTAGTCCTTCAAGTTGATCAAGGTCTCAACTTGACATGACGCAACGGGCTGATAATTAAACGTTTTGTGTCCAAATTAGCTTAATTCACTCGAAGAAAAAACTGATTTCTTAATGTTGTAGATGTATATGATTTGTTGGGAGTAAAAGTCACTGGAATTTAAACTGAAACGAACGACAAAATCTTGATTTATAATGCCATTAGTGTGATGGTGTTTATTTTTGTGAATTTTGACAGATGAATAGACGTAAAGGTGACGTTAGCAGCGGCCACCACACAGAACACCTCTAAACGTGCAATATTTTGGTTTGTTTGGAAACCTGTAACGGTTTATGTAAAATAAATAATCCGTAGATGGCGCAAAAAGCGGTTTTCTTTGAGTATGATTAAGTTACAGCGTATTTTTATATCTCTGTTTTTTTCTGGCTTATTGAAATTCAATATATCTATCTTAAGTGGGCCAACTTCGTACGTTGTGTACAGAGTGAGCTGGTTAGACAATTCCGTAATTTGACACTGACAGGAAATATCTGACGTCGTCTGACAAGTATTGGGTGCGGTGAATTTTTGGAGACAAATTTATAAACATAATTCGAATTTTGATCAATTTTCCATTCATTAAAGGTGCTATATAGTGTGCAAACAACTTAACACTAGGGTAAGCTATTTGCACATAGTAATATTTCTATTTGATAAAAGTAGGTTTTACCACACCTAGCAATCGACATTATTTAAATCCTTGGTAAATTGCTATTCTATTTTTAATGTTTCTTTAATTTATGATACATAATTAAGTAGCGTTGATGTCTGAGTTTTGTTTCCAACCTTAACAGCATCTAATAGCAAAAATATATCTTTATTGACAACCTATTGCTACTTGGAATATAGAAGGAAACAGGGTGCTCTGAATCTAAATTAAATATTCTGTCGCCTTCAGGTCTATGTCCTGTGTCCGAAATACAATGCAAATGTTTGCTGTTATTGATCTATGCAGTTCTAGGCCAAACATGGAATAAAGTTCGGTTTATTCCACATTTATATCGCTGGATGGTTACTTGTTGTGCAATACCGAACTAAACCAGTGAAACATGAGGTCATAGCACTTATATTATGTCACGGTTTAAATTGGTTCTAACTGTATTTAGCCAAACGATTTTAAAATATGTCTTATTGAACAGAAGACGCTGTATCTGAAAATATGTATTAGAAGATCAGAAATGTAATCTGCCAGTTCCACTTTAAAGTAATAAAACTGCGATTTACTGCTTCATACTCTTTTTAATTTAGTTTTATTTTGATTGAAATTATTGTTTTCTACTTGGGGCTGTTTAAAATTGGCCCCGCGGAAAGCACAGTCTTCAATTTAAAAAAAAATAAACATTCATTTTTGTTTAAAATGAATATGTTTTTATTATATATATTCTTTATACATACTTAGGTATATCAAAGCCGGACGATCTGCACAAAAATAATTTATCTCCATCCTGAATCTCATATTTTTGTTAATTTATGATTTTTTATTCTTTTATAAGAAACAATTCTACGTATTAGACTTACGTATTTTTATTAATTAAGTAATAAACGTACTGATTTCTGAATGAATCAAAAGGATTATTATTGACCTGTGCAAAGACAGTACAAAGTCAATTATCTTTAATTTTTTTGTTGAGGAAATACTAAACCGGTCATGAGATTGTCTTCTTTTATATGTTCACATAGTTACATCATGGTTTTCTATTTTGCAACTTTTCTTGTTGCCTATTTACGAAACCGTTCATTTAATTAAGGTGTTTTTTAATCTCAAGTTTCGTTTCGCTTGATGCTAAGTTTCTACCCTTTTTTGGTCTATTGTTATCTATTTTTATTGTTTTTGTCTATGTATATCACCGGTAATGTTTATGAGACTTTTTATGCACAGGAACAAAATAAAATTCCTGAAAATTAAAAAGCAAAAACTTGTTTCAATTATCAATACCATCTCATCGTTAAATCAACGATATAATAAATATAATTCTCCGTATCATTCACAAGATTAGCTAAAGTGTTAGTTATATTTAGAAATGTGGCGTCCCAACGATTAAGACTCGGAAAATAAGAAAAATAGTTTTGTTATGATCGGTAACTGAACTAAGAAGTTGGAAAAATGAGGTTCTTTTTTAATTTATATTTTTGTATAATAAATTTTTAAATAAATTATACACATATTTGTTAATAATGCCATAAATATGTTATAAATTCGTACTAAACTGTTCGTAATTCGGCTCAAAAATTGATGCGAGATTTATTTGATGCATCAGTTCACATAAACTTGTGGCCATTGTGTTACGCTCTGCCTGCTTTCCCGTCTGGTGAAAGCGAGCTAATTTTTTATTAATTAACAGTACATTACAATATTGAAGTTGAATAAAAATGACTTTGTTTGGTTTGTTACTGATTGATTAAGAATACTGTTTTTAAACGTTATTTACAAGAAATAATTATTTATTGATTATACCTGTATGTCATTTGAACATAATGCGGTTCTTGGCGCAATGCCCACTGCAGAATTAAACGCAGACGAGCCTTGGATAATTGTGCAAAATCTAACTCTATTTTTTAATATAGGTATTATTAAAAGTAGGATTTAAATCATACGGCGTTAACTATTTTAGCTGTCATCGTTTTTTAGATTTATTTCAGCATCATCAGGGTATTTGATATCCGCTAGTAACGAAACAGTTTTTCTAGCTGAAAGTACGATTACATTTACAGTTGGTGAAAGAACCACATTTGTATTATCCAATAAAGTGTGGCGGTGAAATTAGCTATGTACATAGTAAAAAGAAATTGCATTAAAATGATAAATTAAAATCCACAAACGTTTACATGTAAGACTGCACGTTGTATTCAAAAGTTGAATATACTTTAATTGTTAATTTAAATTTTAAGAAAACTATTTAGTTGTTAACAGTTCCAATTATCAGTCTAACTGATAATAACTGTCCCATTTATATATGTCTGTGATAACTGTCTCGTTTTCTGCTGTAGAACAATCTGCGTCTTCTGAATATTTTGGGGTTTTAATTGCTTAGAACCTTTTATGGAAATATTCATCATAAATTTTGAAAGGACAATCTAACAATTGTAATAATCAGTTGTATTAGAGGAAATAATTGAATGTATAAGTGAGTAATCCATAAAGGTGTACATGAAATTTTGGAAAACACTTCAATGGCGATTGCAAAACCAATCTGTTATGTTCTTAGATAAAGATAGATAAATATTCGAATCATTAAATTGATAAAAATTTGACAGAGGCTATGACAAATATGATAAACGTACTTAAGCCTGGCAACTTAACTGTATAAGCAGTAATTCGGGTAGGTTACAGCCCGAAATAACCTCATTAAAGAAATATCTTAAGGTGGGCCAAGTTACACATTTTTAAATCAGTTATCATTTCTTTTTTCTATTCACTAAATTATCAACTTTTCTTTAGGCTTTAACGTTTTGCAGCATACAATGAAAATTAACTAAACATCAATTAAGTGACTTTTTTTAACAGAATACGATTAAAACCGGTAGTTCGCTGAGTTACAAAGCATCACCATGGATCAAATTCCTCCTCCGAAAGAGGTAAAAATCCTCGAAACTGCTGAGGACATTCAAGAGAGGCGTCAACAAGTATTGACTCGATACGACAACTTTAAGGCTGATGCTAGAGCGAAGAGAGAAAAGCTAGAGGATTCTAGGTAAAGAGCCTATTACATAAGCAATTTAAGTGCCATATCAACAAGTGTATCTATTCAGGCGATTCCAATATTTCAAACGAGATGCTGACGAGTTGGAATCATGGATTTTGGAAAAACTTCAAGCTGCTTCTGACGAGAGCTACAAAGACCCGACCAATTTGCAGGCAAAGATCCAAAAGCATCAAGCTTTTGAGGTAGGAATACATAATAGGAACTACATAGTATCTGTTGACTACATAGCGTTTGGTGTTTTAGGCTGAAGTTTCAGCGCACAGCAATGCGATTGTTGTGCTGGACAACACTGGACGCGAAATGATCAATCAGAACCATTATGAATCGGAAACTATTCGCCGACGACTTGAGGAGCTTCACCGTTTATGGGAGAAATTGTTATCCAAGCTCGCAGAGAAGGGAATGAAACTGCAGCAAGCTCTGGTTTTAGTGCAGTTTATCAGGTGCGCTTGGAGAGCCTGAAAATGTTACGTCTATAAATAACACGGATTTTTGCTCACAGGCACTACGATGAAGTGATGTTTTGGATCAATGAAAAGAGTGCATTTCTATCTACTGAAGAGTTCGGCCATGATCTGGAACATGTGGAAGTTTTGCAGCGCAAATTTGATGAGTTTCAAAAGGACATGGCTTCTCAGGTAGCTCGATTACTGAATAATTTGCAATAACTATGCAATTAAAAATGTCATTAATAGGAATATCGTGTCACTGAAGTCAATGAATTGGCCGACAAACTTCTGCAAGACGGTCATCCCGAAAGGGATCAAATTACCAGCAGAAAAGACGAACTGAATAGTGCCTGGCAAAGATTGAGGCAGCTGTCTATGCTGCGTCAAGACAAATTGTACGGCGCTCATGAGATTCAGAGATTTAACAGAGATGCTGATGAAACAGTAAGTGTATCATTCTAAAAGTCCAAAAAACCTAAATGTTTTTTTTGCCATTTATAGGTTGCTTGGATCTCTGAAAAAGACGTAGTCCTATCATCCGACGATTATGGCAGAGATCTAGCAAGTGTGCAAGCCCTTCAAAGAAAACACGAAGGCGTGGAGAGGGATTTGGCTGCTTTAGAAGATAAAGTTTTGACTTTGGGCAAGGAAGCTGAGAGGTATTTTGAACTGGAAAGTCACTCTTGGGCAATCAGGTGAAAATTACTTTTTGTTTTAGGCTCTGTGCAATTCACGGTGACCATGCCGAGCAGATCGAAGCCAAGCGATCTGAAATTGAAGACTACTGGCAAAGTTTAACTGCCAAAGCTAAAGAACGTCGCGAACGACTCGAAGAGTCATACGCTCTGCACCGTTTTCTCGCCGATTTCAGAGACCTTGTTTCATGGATTAACGACATGAAAGCCATAATTTCGGCAGATGAATTGGCTAAAGATGTGGCAGGGGCTGAATCCTTATTGGAACGCCATCAAGAGCACAGAGGCGAAATTGATGCTAGAGAAGATAGTTTTGCTTCCACTATTGCCGCTGGCTTAAATCTTCTGGAGAAAGGACATTATGCTAGCGACGAAGTCAAAGAAAAGCTTTCCAGCTTGGAATCCGATAAACGATCCCTAATTGCACTTTGGGATGAGAGACGTATTTTGTACGAACAATGCATGGATTTACAGTACTTCTATCGTGATACTGAACAGGCTGATACTTGGATGGCGAAACAGGAAGCGTTTCTGGCCAATGAAGATCTGGGCGATTCCCTTGACTCAGTTGAAGCTTTGATCAAAAAGCATGAAGATTTCGAAAAAAGCTTGGCAGCACAAGAAGAAAAAATCAAAGCTTTGGATGAGTTTGCTACAAAATTAATTGACGGCGAACATTATGCCGCTGACGATGTTGCTCAACGTCGAGCCATGCTTTTGGAGCGCAGGAAGGCTTTGAAAGAGAAATCTAGCCGTCGTAGGGAACTTCTAGAGGACGCATATAAACTACAACAATTCGAACGCGATTGTGATGAAACCAAAGGTAAGCTTCACCCGTTAACTAACACAATAAAACAAAATGCGTATCTGTTTAGGGTGGATAAACGAGAAACTGAAGTTTGCTTTGGACGAAAGTTATTTGGATCCCACCAACTTGGGCGGCAAAGTGCAGAAACATCAAAACTTTGAACAAGAATTGAACGCTAACAAGAGCAGAATGGAAGCAATAACTAAAACAGGCGAAGAGCTTGTAGAAGACAATCATTATGCAGCTCCCAGAATCCAATCCCGTATGGAAGAGATTGTGCAACTTTGGGAAACACTGGTGCAAGCGACTGACAAGAAAAACTCCAAACTACAAGAAGCCAGCCAACAACAACAATTCAACAGAACTATTGAGGACATTGAATTGTGGTTGAGTGAAATTGAAGGACAATTGATGTCTGAAGACTATGGAAAGGACCTTACCAGTGTGCAAAATTTGCAGAAGAAGCACGCTTTATTGGGTATGTTTTAAATAATTTATCACAACATATTTAGTGTTCTTAAAGGTGTTAGAAGCAAAAAAGCCAAAGTCAAGGTTTATTTAGAGAAATGAATCGTCAAAGTTTCGATTATTAGCTGGTGCTAACATATTTTTTCATCACAGAATAATGTAATCAACGAGAATTTCGAATTGAATGAAATTTTGTTTCCAGAATCCGACGTTGCATCTCACCAAGATAGAATTGAAGGCATTACATCTGCAGCAACCCAATTCGTTGAAAGAGGTCATTTTGATGCTGATAACATTGCTCACAAGCAGAAAGTTCTTACTGACAGATATGCCGCTTTGCAAACGCCCATGGCTATTCGAAAGCAACGACTCTTGGACTCTCTACAAGTAAGTGTTGTCGCTCTATTCAAACCGGCATTAAATTTGAAAATAAATAATTTGTGAAAAGGTGCAACAACTGTTTCGAGACATTGAAGATGAAGAATCGTGGATTCGTGAAAAAGAACCAATCGCAGCATCAACTAACCGAGGTCGCGACTTAATTGGGGTGCAAAACCTCATCAAAAAACACCAAGCTGTTTTAGCGGAAATTAATAATCATGATGCTCGTATTACTGCGGTTGTTGAAGCTGGTAGACAAATGACTGAAGACGAGCATTTTGCAAGTGATGAAATCAGAAATAGGTAAGATCAAATCAATTAATATTTCTATAGTATTACGTTATATGATTATTTCAGAGTGACTGCGTTGAGTGACCACTGGGAACATCTTAAGGAAAAATCGCAGCAACGCAAACAAGATTTAGAAGACTCCCTTCAAGCCCATCAATATTATGCGGACGCCAACGAAGCCGAATCATGGATGAAGGAGAAAGAACCCATTGTTGCCAACACAGACTATGGTAAATAAATAACATTTTCTTGTATCTTTTATTAATTTTTTTACATAGGCAAGGATGAAGATTCATCAGAAGCGCTCTTGAAGAAACACGAAGCATTGATGAGTGACTTGATCGCTTTTGGAAACACCATTGAATCCCTGAAAGAACAAGCCAGAAACTGCAGGGTAATAGCTTTGAAAAGAATAATGGTAGATACTAAAAAAATTTTGTGTTTTATAGCAACAGGAACCGCCAGTAGTTGACGTAACTGGAAGGGAAACAGTGCAAGCTTTGTATGACTACACCGAAAAATCAGCAAGAGAAGTGTCTATGAAGAAAGGAGATCTTCTGCATCTTCTCAACTCTAATAATAAGGTTAGTTAAATGTGCTATTTATTATGAAAACATTTTATTTTTCGCATTTTCGGTGCAGGATTGGTGGAAAGTGGAAATTCATGACCGCCAAGGGTTCGTCCCTGCTGCTTATGTGAAGAAAGTAGAAGCAGGATTAACTGCATCTCAACAAAATCTGATTGAAAACAGCTCGATTTCTGCACGACAACATCAAATTAACACACAATACGACAGGTTCGACTAGTTCGATTTAGTGATTTTTAACAAATCAAATACAACCATTTTTTTTAGACTCTTGTCTCTAGCTCGTGAACGCCAAGAAAAACTCAACGAAACTGTGAAAGCATACGTTCTGGTAAGAGAAGCCGCCGAATTGGCAAATTGGATCAAGGACAAGGAAATGCACGCACAAGTGGAAGATGTTGGAGAAGATTTAGAACAAGTAGGTTGTTTGGTTATATTTTCAGCTCAAAAATACGTGTTTCTGTTTCTGCCTTAGGTTGAAGTCCTCCAAAAGAAATTCGACGATTTCCAAACCGATCTAAAGGCCAACGAGGTCCGTTTGGCGGAAATGAACGAAATTGCTATGCAGCTAGTGTCCTTAGGCCAAACTGAGGCCGCTCTTAAAATCCGAACTCAAATGGAAGACTTGAACACGAAATGGACCAGTTTGCAACAATTGACCGCGGAGAGAGCCAGCCAATTGGGATCTGCCCACGAAGTTCAAAGGTGACTAAATGCATATTTAAAAAATGCCAACTAAACTTTTTAACTGCAATTATTTAGGTTCCATCGTGATGTCGATGAAACTAAGGACTGGATTCAAGAAAAAGATGAAGCACTTAATAATGACGACCTTGGAAAGGACTTGCGTAGTGTTCAAGCTTTACAACGTAAGCACGAAGGTTTAGAGCGAGATTTGGCTGCATTGGGAGATAAGGTAAGAATGAAAAAAAATTCGGCCTATTGTTACAGAATTCCTTTCGTTTTATAGATTAAACAGCTAGATGAGCAAGGCAACAGGTTGAAACAGTCTCACCCTGAACAAGCGGAACAGACTCTGCAAAAGCAAAGAGAAATTACCGAGCTGTGGACTCAACTAACTGCAAAAGCCAATTCCCGCAAAGAAAAACTGTTGGATTCATATGACCTCCAAAGGTTCCTTAATGACCACCGCGATTTATTGGCTTGGATCAACTCTATGCTGGGATTAGTAAGTTCTGAAGAGCTTGCTAATGATGTAACTGGGGCAGAAGCCCTGATTGAACGACACCAGGTAAGAGTTGTTAAGTTATTTGCTTTGTGTGTTGTTAAAATGGGAAGACAATTCGGTGTTTTCAAAAATATAATTTAAACTTGAGAAAATCCTTTTCTGACCAGAGACTTGAGCTTTATTATTTGTAGAGACTGAAATGTTTTGTTGTGCCTTTTGTGTCTGATTTTGTGTTTTTTACGGGTTGATATAGAACTACAAGGCGGAAATTGACGCACGCTATGGATATCCACAGGTAGAATCCTATCAAAAACCTCGTCCAGTGTATAACTTTACTAATATGAAAGAAAAATCTTTGTTTATATCGTAGTACAGAAAGGGTTTCCTGTTGATTTAAAAATTAACAAAGATTTTTTTACTTTTATATTTCTTGATAAATATTCTAATTTGTGTGAGCTGTTTTCTATAACCCCGCAAGTGTTAAATCAAAATGTAGTTGCTGAAATAAGTAATCCAATTGTAATTTTCATATAATTCTGAAGTTATTTAGTCTAGAAATTGTTTTTTATAACTACAGATCCATTTTGGAGACTCCATCACTATTTAATATAATTCATGAAGCAATTAAATAAATAAATATTACAGTGATTTATAACGAACGCTGCGAAAATAAGCGAATGAACTAGCAAATTGTAATATTGGCTTTTGGTGGGTTATAGAAAAATAGTTGCTTTGTCTACCCATATAGAGCACAAATGTGGTGTTGGACAGCACATTCTTCTAACTTCCACATTAGCTTATGGTGAAGGAATGTATATTAAAGTATGTGTCTGTAATATACAGGTTGATTTTAAGTCATAATCAAATGCTTGTCGATTTGGATTTTTTATCTGGTTCTACTGGAATCAAGTTATTTGCTTAATTTAATAAGTAATTTCTCTTGTGGCAAATCACAATCGCTCCTTGGCTACATATTTTCTTAACTTAATCTAAGTACCTACACAACTTGAAAACAAAAAAATATATTTCTCAACATTTTAAATAACTAAAATATGTAATTAAAGAATTAAAAATTTAAAAGGAATTAAATTGTCTTTCTAGTGTAAATTTCTTTATAATATGACCTGCAAAATCACACCCTCAAATATTGACATGACATTAAAAACTTCCTTTCTGAAACTCAAGGCTTTTTAGAACAAATATGTAAATATGTCCTAACATTTATATGTGACTAATCTTTGTTACATTTCAACCGGTAATTTTTGAACAACCAGGAACATCGTACAGAAATTGATGCGAGAGGTGGTACTTTCCTCGCTTTGGAACAATTCGGTCAACAGTTGCTGAACTCCAATCATTACGCCTCTCCGGAAATTCAAGAGAAGCTAGAACAACTTAATCAGGCTCGTGCCGACCTTGAAAAAGCGTGGATCGACCGTAGGCTGCTTCTGGACCAAAATCTGGAATTAAATCTATTCTATAGGTAAAAAAAAGGCATCTACTTTTATCGATCAAATTTGTATTTGCTGAGATTTGATTCGATGGATTGACTAATTAAATTATCAATTATTTGTTTAAATGTACAAATATTTTTTTTCAGGGATTGTGAACAAGCTGAAAATTGGATGAGCGACCGAGAAGCATTCTTAGCGTCTGACGAAGTTGATTCCAATGGTGATAACGTGGAGGCTTTGATTAAGAAGCACGAAGACTTTGACAAAGCCATTAATGCGCACGAAGAGAAGATCGGCACTTTGCAAACATTGGCTGATCAACTTATTGCCAGACAACATTATGCTTCGAAACCGATTAATGACAAACGTAATCAAGTCCTGGAGAGATGGCACCATCTGAAAGATGCTCTTATCGAAAAACGTTCAAAATTGGGAGAAAGCCAAACTTTACAGCAATTCTCCAGAGATGCCGATGAAATCGAGAACTGGATCGCCGAAAAACTGCAATTGGCTACTGAAGAAAGCTACAAGGTAAATATAAAATTGATTTCAGGACTACGTTTTAATTATAAATATTTTACTTTCAGGACCCAGCTAATATTCAATCAAAGCATCAGAAACATCAAGCCTTCGAGGCTGAACTGGCAGCTAATGCTGATCGTATACAGAGTGTTCTTGCTAATGGTGGTAATTTGATTGATAAGAAACAATGTGCGGGTTCTGAAGAAGCCGTCAGAAAGAGGTAGAATTTGACGCGTTCTTTCATAACACTGTTACTATTGTCTGTTCCAACGTCTAGGCTTGAATCTATTGCCAATCAGTGGGAATTCCTCACCCAAAAAACGGTAGAAAAATCCATGAAATTGAAAGAAGCCAACAAACAGCGCACTTACATTGCCGCAGTCAAGGACTTGGACTTCTGGCTTGGTGAAGTAGAAAGCTTGCTAACCAGCGAAGATGCTGGACGAGATTTAGCTTCAGTGCAAAATCTCATGAAGAAACATCAGTTGGTCGAAGCCGACATTCAACATCATGAAGATAGAATTAAAGGTTGGTGTTTATTTACGGAACACTGATTATTATTATTCTTAAAATTGTCTTCCAGATATGAATGACCAAGCCGATTCATTAATTGAATCTGGCCAATTCGATACCGCATCCATTCAAGAAAAGCGTCAGTCGATCAACGAACGATACGAACGAATTAAGAACTTGGCAGCTCATAGGCAAGCTAGGCTTAATGAGGCCAATACTCTACACCAATTCTTTAGAGATATTGCTGACGAAGAGTCCTGGATCAAGGAGAAAAAGCTCCTAGTAGGAAGCGATGATTATGGACGTGATTTAACTGGTAGGTTAATCAATTAAAATGTTGTCTTTTTGTCTTAATAAATGTTTGCTTTTTGTAGGTGTCCAGAATCTAAAGAAGAAGCACAAGCGTCTTGAAGCAGAACTGGCCTCTCATGAACCTGCCATTCAAGCAGTTCAAGAAGCAGGTGAAAAACTCATGGACGTCTCCAATCTCGGTGTTCCAGAAATCGAGCAACGATTGAAAGCTTTGAATCAGGCTTGGGCTGAATTGAAGCAATTTGCTGCCACCAGAGGACAAAAATTGGACGAAAGTTTGACTTATCAGCAATTCCTTACTAAGGTATGTTGTTCAAACGATCGCATTAAAGTCGGGAAATTTAATATGTTTGATTGTTGCATAGGTTGAAGAGGAAGAGGCCTGGATCAGTGAGAAGCAGCAGCTTCTTAGTGTTGAGGATTATGGCGATTCAATGGCTGCCGTTCAAGGGTTGCTGAAGAAACATGATGCCTTCGAAACCGACTTCCAAGCCCACAGGTTTGCATTGAAATTGTATTAAAATTTATTTTAAAAAGATGCAAATTATAATATTGTTGATATTTACCATACATTCATGTTTTCTACATCTTATATATGAATCAATAAGACAACATATGAATACTTATGCATTTATACACCTAAGAACTTAAACCTCAGACAAGAAAGTAAAAGTATTGTTCGCAGGGGACGATGCAAAAATATATCCGATGAAGGATCTCAACTTGCTGCTGCTGGAAATCATCACGCCGATAGTATAAATCAACGCATTCAACAGCTGCAGACCAAGTTAGACCATTTGGCTGCTCTGGCATCGAGACGAAAGGCCAAACTGGTAGATAACTCTGCTTACCTACAATTTATGTGGAAAGCCGATGTTGTTGAGAGCTGGATTGCTGATAAGGTAACTAGCGCGTGTCTCCACTAGAGTAAATCGTTTGAAACGCATTTGTTTATTGTCAAGGATGCGCACGTGAACAGTGACGAGTATGGACGAGATCTATCTTCAGTTCAAACTTTGCTTACCAAGCAAGAAACATTCGACGCTGGTAAGATAATTACTTCTTATTAAAGTGAGCTGCTTATTCAACCAACTTTGTAAATTGTCAGGTTTAACTGCCTTTGAACATGAAGGCATTCAGAATATCACAGCTTTGAAGGACCAGTTAGTAGCGTCAAACCACGACCAGACAGCCACAATTGTGCAACGCCATGCTAACGTTATTGCTAGGTAATATTTTTTTTTCCGTAACTGAACGTAATTAAATTGTTTATCGTCTTCTCTTAGGTGGCAAAGTTTGCTATCTGCCTCAGACGTTAGGAAACAGCGTCTTCTGGGTATGCAGGAACAGTTCAAACAAATTGAAGAATTATTCTTGACCTTCGCTAAAAGAGCTTCTGCTTTCAACTCATGGTTTGAAAATGCTGAGGAAGATCTAACCGATCCTGTCAGATGCAACTCTATTGAAGAAATTCGAGCTTTGCGTGATGCGCACGCCCAATTCCAGGTAACTAGTAGTCTTTTTACAGGTTTTTCTGGATGTTCATATTTATTTCTGTTTTCTAATATGTTTTACCTTGTTTTTCAGGCTTCCCTTTCAAGCGCCCAAGCAGATTTTGATGCACTGGCCGCTTTAGATCGCCAAATAAAGTCATTTAAGGTGGGCCCCAATCCGTACACTTGGTTCAACATGGAAGCTCTAGAGGAAACTTGGAGAAATCTCCAAAAAATTATTGGGGAAAGGGATTTAGAATTGGACAAGGAAGCGCAGAGGCAAGAGGAGAATGATAAGCTGAGAAAGGAGTTTGCTAAGCACGCAAATGCTTTCCATCAATGGTTGACAGAGACTCGGTAAGTACATTCTAGGTTGAAGATCTGTTTTAACGTTTTATAGGCGCCGAAGTTGAATGAATGTGGACGGTGTGCATGTAGTTTGGGCAAGCAATAAATGAGTAATTTAAGAAAACCGGCAATTGATATTTTGAACGTGGTTGCATTGTATTTACATGAGTTATTATTTTAGTTTCCAGATTTTAGGCTGGAATGGGTAAATATTCATTGATGTCGTACTTTATGGCCATTTTTATCAGCATCTATTTTCGATCAGCTTTATTCAGTGCTTTAACTAAAAATCGCCTGTTGTAACTTTTTTCCAGTTTTACAATGCTCCATCAGTTTTTAACGGCATCTCTTAATTTGATTGCAATATGTATTTGCATGTCTATTAATTGAATTTATTACCTTTCGGAATCTGCATAAATATATTTTAATTTTTATAGAACCTCAATGATGGAAGGTTCTGGATCATTGGAACAGCAATTGGAGGCCACTAAAAGAAAGGCGGCTGAAGTTAGAGCTCGCCGGTCCGATTTGAAGAAAATTGAAGACCTAGGTAGATCAGTATTTTTCATATTATAAACAAGAAATTAATTTGTTGCATATTTTCTAGGCGCGATTTTGGAAGAGCACCTTATATTGGACAACAGATACACAGAACATTCAACTGTAGGATTAGCACAACAATGGGATCAGCTCGATCAACTGGGAATGAGAATGCAACATAATTTGGAACAACAGATACAAGCAAGAAACCAATCAGGTAATTTAAATAAAATTGCATGTAGTGAAGTAATTTGACTTTTTCTATTGATTGCAGGAGTTAGTGAGGATGCTCTCAAAGAATTCTCAATGATGTTCAAACACTTTGACAAAGAGAAATCTGGTAAACTGAACCATCAAGAATTCAAGAGTTGTCTGCGAGCTCTGGGTTACGACTTGCCAATGGTTGAAGAGGGACAACCGGACCCAGAATTCGACGCAATTTTAAGTAAGTTTACCTTTTGAAAAATTCGTTTGGACATAATTTTAATCTATTTTTTTTAATTATTTTATAGATGTAGTGGATCCGAACAGAGATGGATATGTATCTCTGCAAGAATACATGGCCTTCATGATCAGTAAGGAAACTGAAAACGTACAGAGTTCTGAAGAAATAGAAAAGGCCTTCCGCGCGATTACTGCCGGAGATCGTCCTTATGTGACAAAGGAAGAATTATACGCCGTAAGTATTCTAAGCATTATTTGTTGCTGATTTAATTGACCTGAGTTAAAGGTAAAAAAATGACTGTATTTATTCAATTAATGAGATGAATTCATTTAGCATGGTGAAAAGTAATCAGGGCAATTATGGATTTTTCTCTTGAAGTCGTGATTTTTTGTTGGTGCGGCTTATTAAATATATTGCAGTTGAATTAAAATGAATGTAATATGATTTTTAAAAAAGTAACGACCCAACGTATTTAGTAATCTTGCAATTTTAATTATTCTGCAATTGCTGAAAAAACAAATATTCGTCTATAAAAACAATTTTTTCTTTCTATCACAAGACAACTTAACATATAATATTCCCACTTTTGAAATAAAATGTCCTTTTCAGAATCTTACGAAGGAAATGGCCGATTACTGCATAGCCAGAATGAAACCTTATCTGGAGCCAAAAACAGAGCGTCCCATCGCGGGAGCCATGGACTATATAGATTTTACCCGCACTTTGTTCCAAAATTAGTGCACTCGTATTCTTTAACGCTTAAAAATATTTATGCGACACATTTAGAAGTGTATTCGTATTATTGTTGGCTTAGGCTTTAAATATATATTCAAGTGTCTTAAGTAAAGATTATTTATAATATATGTTCGAGATATTATATTAGAAATATAGAATTCATGAATTTTATGCTTATATTTGGGGCTTTGCTTTAAAACTGCCTGTTTGCATATTAATTGTGTTCAAATGGACGACAACTATTCAGTTAGTTATTGTTGAACTCGTAACAACAATTGTATTCTTTTGTACCTTATTTATTAAATAATGAACCAACTCCGAAAATAAACAACTTTTGCTTTATGAAAATTATATTTGTGTTTTATTCACAATTTACTTAGTACCAACATCTTTGATTGAAGCCGCAAAATGAATTGAAGCTTTACTGCTGAACTGGAAAGAATTAAGAAATTCAAAAAAGTATTCTGTCAGAAGTGGGATTCGAACCCACGCCCACCTAAGTGGACTGCGACCTGAACGCAGCGCCTTAGACCGCTCGGCCATCCTGACTATATGAGAATATCCTCGGAGATGGTAACTAAGGTCCTTTATTTCTCTGATTACTTGAGTTCAAAATAAGCAATTTGACATTTTCTGAATGCTGACGAGAGTTAGTTAGTGACAGATTTTATATCGATTTTTGTGTGAGAACATCCATTCTAAGCACTTCAAGTATGAAAATAAACCTTTAGGCATTTTATGGTAATAACAATCTGAAAATATAAAATTTTGAATATTTGTTGCAATTATCTCAATTTTTCCTTCTTTCTTTGTTAGGTTTTCTTTGTTAAAAAGGAAATTAATTTGTGGTTAAGTTTTCTGGCGAAATAAATGTTCAAAATGCACATGGTGGGCATAATTCATTGTGACTTTTTATTTGCCTTTGTTAATAATAACAAGATTCGATTTTATTTTCACATACGTCTTAAGTACTTTTAATAATATTAGTTTTAACACTACAAACTACAAAAAAAATTTTCAACTTCTCACTTTGAAAGTCCATAATTCATAACAATCCAGATCGGAGTTTTTTTATATAAAGTTCTGTCCTTATTTTCAGGTTTTCTGTTGGCCCTATCATTGTTGACAAATAATTTCGGGACACCCTGTATATTGCCTAAATCTGTATTATGTTTTCAGCATTTTAAATCGCAACAAATTAAAGAAGCTGAAAATGAAACAAGAAACTATGGAAAGAGAACCTAACGAAATTTATTGCTTTAAATGTAAAAACAAATAAATAAATAAATACAAAATCATGAGAATCACTGATTTTGTGTAAATAATTTGTATGACCTCCGTTTAATGCTAGACATGCTGTATACCTAATCTACTTGGATTTTATCGATAACGTTTTGAATATTTGGGTTATGATTAATATTAATTTCGTTAATTGCATCCACTATTTTAAGGCGTCTAACTAGAGACTCATACACAATATTCTTTAAATAATCCCCGAAAAAAGAATCAAGAGGCATTAAGTCGGGGCTATTTGGAGACCATTGGATAGGACCCGCTCGTCCAATCCAGATATCAAGATTTTCATTTAAAAAAAACTGCTACTGACAGGCTATTTTGATTTGTTGCTATATAAAGTTTTTAAAACGTAATTTAGGAAAAACGGATGGTACAAATATAGGCAAAATAGATATTTTTGAAATCAGGAAAAAATCCGTTTGGTATGTCTAAAAATATACAGGGTGTTTCATTAAAAATAAAATTACGTCAAAATTTTACATTTCCGTGTTTTTTATTTTAAATTCACATTTAAAAATGTGTTGGTCACTTTCACAAATTTTTTATATCAACTTATGAGGAAACACCCTGTACGTTCCGAATAGATCAAGTAAATTGATATCAAGCAGCTCGTTTTGCACAACAAATAATAGTTTGACATTCATTATTTTTGTCGTTATTGGGTTTAAAACTAAATAAGTGCCTCAAACTAATTTTTTCGACATCAATAAAATCATATTTAACTTCTATCTTGTCTCCGATTCGTATTGGGTTTGTATCTATTAAGTTGGTTGCTTTATGGCGATTTTTACTTTTTGCTAATAGAAAGCACTAATTTTTAAATGGAATCTCCTGTATGTACACTTATTTTACGTAATAAAATGTAGTCACTTTTCTAACAAAACCGGCAAGTTCTTGAAATGTAAGCTTCCTACCTCGTTTTTACTTCTAATTACCTGAGCGGCTAATAAGTGAACTTTGTTGCGCTGAACTAGTAGCAAAATGTCAGGAAGAAAAAGGCGATATGTTGAAATCTTCAATACTATGTAACTAAAATACTACCAAAGCCGTGAACACGTATCATGAATATTCAGTCATCAAGAAATTTTACGCTGTGATTTTACCACCTATTTCTGCAAAATAACTCAACTTTAAAAAGAAAACGGCAAAATGAAGTTAATACACTAAATTAACAAACCGAAATTACCCTCTTGGCATATTTTAAAGCTTTTTCCAGGAAATCTGTGACGTACTTAAATAGGAGAAACAAATCGTCATTTCCATACTATTTGACAAATCTTAAAGAAATGTATAAACATAAATTGGTTACAAAAACTATAAACCAGTTCAGCAAATTCATGAGGGAAATTACAGATGTAAACGGATTTTATGGATTGTTTAACAGGGAAAATATTCATCATTTAGAAAATTTATTTCTAGTCGAACCGCGCTTGCGATTGTGCAGTTATCGAAAGATTATGGTGGCAATTGCCCACTAGGTCTAAAAAATTCATCAGCAATCACAAGTATACTTGGTGGCAGTTTCTAGCATATCCTGAATAAATGATTATTCTTTTCTGGAAAGAAAATAAATATCTGTTTCCAAGAAATATAAGCAATAAAAAAACTTTGATCGGCAGCCGAGATAAAGACAGAAGAACAACTGGAATAATTGAATAAAATCAAATATTTGCCACAGCAAAATGTTGAAAACGGACTAACCCGTTGATATGCGTCAAAATCGACAAACGTTTTCAATCAAAATATTACTAAAAATTTGAATAAAATGTCCTCTAAACTACCAGAGACAATCCTGATGTCCGCTGAACCTCAGTTTTATAAATGCAACCTTAAGCTGTAATTGCTCCACTGGTGTTTCCAAACATACGGACTTATTAATGCCATTCTTTCAGAAACGAGCAGGTAATGAAATTTAATCCCACTCAGTCAATCGAATGCAATCCAGTAAAAGGGATCGGATTGAACTCTTATTACTTAAACATGCGGCATGAGCTGCATAGCTTAGGTCAGCTATCTTTGCAAGAAAGACGAGACAAAATGAAACGACGTCTAATCGAAGATTTTCGAATAGAAGAAAAAGAACTTAATGATGTGGATCTAGGGTACATTGAAACACAGCGCTAAATCTCAATACTGAAACTAAATTCGGGAAAATTCATTAAATATGGGTAAATTTCATTAAAACAAGTAGTTAAATAGAACATCTCATATTTAATAGTTTTTTAGTTTATACAGTGATAATATTAATAACATTTCTGCACTAATTCAGTACGTATTCTTATTGACTAGAATAACTATGATATTTATACAAAAGAATAGACATTGCAAAAATGTTATTTAACAGAAACATGATTTTCACAAATTTTAGGCGTACATTAGTTGACATTTTCGAAAACCACATTTGTTGAAACTGACTTAAAACTAGAAACTGGCGCAGATGAGCCTGTTGAACCTGAGTGGAAGAAGAAAGAAGAACAAATTAATTCTAGACCTAAAGGAGAAAGAAAAGGGTAATCGAGCGCAGTGCCGATTACACTTTGGAAAATTACACTTATTTATTTACTAAGTTAAACATTCGTGTTTAAGTTATCAATTAAATATATAAGTATATAGATGGTAGGTGTTTTCTGTTCTGAGTTGATCGATTACCCTTTTATTTTCCCTTTAGGTCTAGAATGACATCTTCTTTCGTTTCTTCCACTCAGGATCAACAGGCTGATCTGCGCCAGTTTCGAGTTTCAAGTCAGTTTCAACAAATGATGTGGTTTTCGGTACAGTCGGCGCATTCCTCTTTTGGGATGCAGCATATTGACTCGGTTCTGATGTCTGAATGAACTGATTCAGGATACAAGTCGTTTAAGTTACTTTTTACTTTATCGCCGTTTGTCTTCTGTCGACATTTATCTTGAGCAGCACGTTTCTTTAAAGGAGCACTACGAGTGGCCGGGACAGTTTGCTCTATGTTTAGAGCAGGTGATTCGACAGAATCACCATCCCCCATTATTTATATGTTCTGTTAAACTTAAACTGGCCTCTATTTTGGTATCAAAATATGCACTTCTAGCAATAACATAAATGCAGCTTAAAAATATGCTCCTTTTGAAGTCGAACTCACAAAATTGAAGCAGTTATAAGAGCAGTAATAAATCAAATGGTCATTTAATTATCATTAGCCTTCTGAAAAGTAGTTTTTCCATTAATTGCCGCTTCTTCAAATTGGGATAACTTTATCTGCTCGATAATTCCTGTAGTTTCAATTATTAGTGCAATAATTGCTATGGACATTATTTACTAGATAACGTTATTCAAAGATGAATAAAGGGCCTCAAAAGCATTAAAAAAATTACTTCTCTCAGTTGCCACATTAACAGCAATGAAAATAATTATCTGCTGCAATTAATTCATCGTCTCGAAGGAACAAAATACTATTACAAAACCGGCAAATTTTTCAAACTAACATCTGCCCAGTTAGTAAGAATAAAGACGCAACTAAACCAAAACTGTTCTTTCCAGGGTCGTAGATACAAAACCCTCAAACTCAAACTTAATAACTAAAAAATAACTAGAATGCGAACAATAAATTAAATCCTTAAACTTATGATTTATACTGCTTTAACATATACAAAGCAGCTATGACTAAAAAACTGGACTAGCCATGATACTAAGCCGAACGTTAGTAGAACTTGCAGTTTTCAATTCTTTGGTTGGATTTATTTGGAGCCTCGTATTAACAGTTTCTGATATTTCAAATGTTATTCTAAACCAAAAAACAAGTAGTTTTATCCAAATTTTAGACAACCATTAAGAAACTTTCTGGATAATTTTCTAATGGCAAATTTAGGAGAAACGATTGCTTAACTAGTGGTTAACTGAAGGCTCTAAATAGTGATCTCGACTTAACCTAATTGACTATCTGAATGCGAGAATTGGTAATTTTGCCGTATGAAAGTGATGGGTTATGTACAAGAGTAAATAACGAACTGTACAGATTAAACACAAGAAATATAAGTTCAGAACACTAGTTTCCATAAAAAAATACACACACATACAATTTCAGTCTTCTTACAAATGTCTATCGTTTTTGGAAGCACTTTGATAGTAACTTTCATTCGAGTAATTTGTCATTTATTCGGTAGTAAGATTTCTTAAATGAATGAATGAAAGTGAGTGATGGCGAGGTCCATGCGAAAAAAGATCGAATTCCCATCTAGTTGGTAACAGTGTTAGACCAGCGCATTCTTTTTTATAGTTTTGGGATATGCTGACTAGTTCTTATAAATAAATAATTTCAATGAAAAATAGGTCTAACTGATCAACGAAACTAAGGAAAATACTATAAATGGTGCTTCTTACGACTTATATGTCCTTATCACGTCTCTTATAACCGCTCTGCAAAGCGGACAATGACCGCCTCCTTTTCCTCGCCATTGTTGAAGTGCACACTCGTAGCACATACACATATGACCGCACATATATAAAACTGCATCTATAGAATTTTCATAGCATATTGTGCATTCTGCGCCAGCGGTCAATGTATGAGTTGTGCCAGCGCAGTTTTGTTCTGCCCAGCTAAGGGGCGTTGAGTAGGTACTTGAATCGGATACGTTGATAGGCTGAAATAAAAAACAATTTATTAGTAAAATGTACTTCGTACACTAGTCAAAAATCAATTTTGAACATTTTTATTTTATACAGAAATGGCTAATGTGTGGAAAAAATTATTCCAGTACTATTCGCGAGTTCAACTACCAATGGGAGCGCAGCGAAACGTCAAATTACTCATTGCCGAGTGACTTGTCAGACTTGCCTATCTATTGGAAGTTGGCAATCAAGCGAAAAGTGACAGTTGAAATTGTGACAAAAATGAATGTGAATGAATTAATACATTGTATGAAAAAAAAAACAAAAATTAAAAGCTTGCAAAAGTTGATTAGAACAAAACAAATCACCAATGTCAACTACTACGTGCACTTGTTATGATATTCTTATCTCTCCTGGGTCTCAGTTAAACTGTGTAGTAAAAATTTTGAATCGTTTATTTCATTACGTTTCGGAGAGACAATAGCGCCATCATCAGATTTAAAATTTACACAAACTCTGATGCTTCAAAATTTTTACTCAACTCTTTGACTGAGACCCAGGAGAGATAAGAATATCATAACTTAAGCCCAGAAAAAGAAAGTAAGTTGAGCAATTTTGGTCTCCGCGAATATTTCGATAGGTAGGTAGTTGGGTAAGTATCAGTGGCTCAAATATATGTAAATTAAATTCAATTTGCTCCTTACCTCAATATACTGCGCACTGCAGCTACTCATCATAGTTCCACTAGACAGAGCATTAGACGTAGTTGGTACTGGTGCAATAACTGAGCTTACAGGCGAGAGTGGCGATGTTGTATGGTTACTGAACCCATGATGACTGATAGTAGTCGATGGTGGCAGAATCACTGATAAAACGGCACCACCATTGGCTACCGGTTGAACCTGGAATTAACATAGGAAAATGATTACTTATTCTAATAGTGTTAAAATGCTTCCGCATGTAGGTAGTCAGACAGCTAGTGATATTTACCTGGATATCGGCCTGTGGAAAACATAACCGTCCATTTTGTGGCTGCGTTGCTTGTCTGGTTTGGATCGGCATGACTTCCACATCTCGAACCACTAAACTTTGTCTGAAAAAAAGTAGAACTTCATATATAATATTCCCCAAGACTGCATTAGCAATTAATTAAAACAGACATTATTAAGTTGTTCTGATTTATTTTCCTGACTGCGTGTACTTGTTATGATATTCCTATCTTTCCTGAGTCTCAGTCAAAGTGTGAAGTAAAAACTTTGAAACATCGTTTATTTCATTACGTTTTTACTTCACACTTTGACTGAGACCCAGGAATGATAGGAATATCATTATTAAGTTGCAATGCTTACCGTGAACTGTTGTTTCCTTGCCTGGTCATTTCATTCTGGAAATTGATGCTATTAATAGACTCACTGGTTGGGATATGTCTTCTATCGACAATACTTTGGCTCGATGAGTTCCTTAGAGGACTGGCACTCAAATTTGTAGCTGTATTTCCACTTAAAAGTCGAATACGTTGAGTTGATCCGTAGATATCAAAGAATGCCCATAATCTATAATGAAAGGTAACTGTTAGCGTCAACAGAAAGATTTGTCACGCTCTGTGCATACCTAAGACTTTGGTCCACATGCATAACAACCAAAGGAGCGCCTCCGTTTTGGGAAATCTGCACTTCTCCATTTGGCGCTATGTAGAAACTAACTTCATCGCCTTTATTTAAATTTCTCGCAAAGTCTCGAGACAATACCCAGTATTCGGGCCGGTCCAATAAGAAGTTTGAATCGTCCGGTAGATCTGCCGTAGTTAACGTGGATGGATCGCAAGACGTTAATCCTAGAAATACAGTTTAGATTAAGCAACAACATCACGGAAGTTAAAAAGAGCTGTATTACCTAATCCCAGACACCCTTGGAACATCGGTTCAGTAGACAAAATTTGAACTATAATTCGTTCGGCTATCTGTAAAGGTCTTGCTGTGAAAACGTAACCCTGACAAAATTCAGTATCCGTCCTCATGGCCACGCTTCTGCAGCTACCTGAATATAAAATCAAAAATTACAAAATTGTTCGTCAGGAAATCATTTCAAGCCTCAGACTTACCACAAAATCTAACATTTCTTCCTCTGGTGCGATGAAACGGCATAGCTTGATAATTCATTGTATGAGGTTGGTATCTCAACAAGGGTAAGTTGAGATCTTGACTTTGAGACACGCTATTAGCCATTTGGTTTTGGTTGGCAACTTGTTGAATGTGCACTTGTTGCATTGCATATGTTATGCGATCTACTGGCTCGGGGGTGCGTGAATGAGCGATGACTGCCGCAGTCTCAGATGATGGCAAGGACGGTGCAACATTGGATCTGAATACACCAACAGATTACATGAGTAAATATCTTCTGAGGTTCAAACAAATTAATATTTATAAACAATTTTTAGATCTTTCGAAAGAGACTATCCACCGAGTCTATATTTCTGCCCTGTTGTGCACAATTTTACGTCTTATTAGTATTTTCGCTGGTGGGTTCGATTGCGTTTGTAGGTGTTCTAGTGAACTAGAAAAGCAGATAGTTTGGGTTAGTTATTAAGTACGTGTAGTAAGTAAAAGAGTCATTTGTTGTTAGTACAAAAAGTGGGTTTACACAAAAGTTGAGTGCTTAGGTTCAAAACGCGAACTGGAATGATGGTTTCTGTTTTCGTAATCTATTTTTTATAACTTCACACATTTAACTCAGTACTGGAAATAATGTTAAGTTAATATTTACCGTGAATTATTCAACTGGTGTCTAACATCGACGAATTCCACCCCTGTAGAATTTCCATAGACATCAATCAAGGCCCAAATTGGACCTCTGGTTTCAACACCACCGAAGAAAATCCCCTTTTCTTCGCCATTGATGCCTATACCAATAGAACTAATCAGCACCCGATAAAAACATTTCCTTACAATCAACTTACCGAAATGTACATCACCGGTTGAGGTGGCATAGTAGAACATAATGGTATTTTGGCTGCAGAATCGTTCAGGAAGGGCCTTCGCCCAATATCCCGGCTTATTGGTCAGATCGGGACAAGCGTATTTCGGCAAACCATATCTTAGACTGGTAGGATCGTTCGCCGTAAATCCGAATCGAATCACACCGCTCCAGTTGTTGGATATTTCCAAAAATTTCACACTCACCTTTCAAAGAAATTAACCATTTAATATAAATTGAATTTTCCAAAAGGAATCGTTTACCTTTTCATTCACTTTTACTGGTCGGCTACTGAAGACAATGCCTTTACAGAAGCTTTCCACTCGCTTGGCTACTGTGCCGTCGCGTGAGATTCTGATGTTTTCCCCATGGATATTGTGGAAAAGTAATGGAGGTAGATTGTTCGTGCCATGAGTATGGGAAGAAGATCTTGAGGCTGCAACAAATAGACATCGGTAAGCACTTAAATTATTAACGTCGATAAAAATTAGTTTGCCCATGACACCCTTGTAGGCTGTATACATGCTGATACTTTCAATTTTTAAATACTTCCGTTGCAAAAACATAAAAATAAACGACTTCCGAACGAATTAAGGCAAAAAGGTCGTGAGATAGTAGCGTGGATTTCATAAAAAAAATCAATCAAGTACAACCGAAACTGGTATCCAGGCCTCCCCTCTATATCTCGTTCACCTCTATTTTACCTGACAGTATGGCTATAGGTATGGTGCTTCCACCCCAACTTAAACAAAGAATTACCAGCTGTTGCTTCGGCACCCCTCGTATATGCACCGGATTTACGACACCTGGTGGATACGAAGACCCTCTGTACTATATTCAAGGTGTGCAAAAATAAACCTATGCACAAAGTTCAATGAAGACATTTTTCATTAGTATGCTCATGTTTTGCATATGCATTATTTCGCCGTTTTTATTATTGCTTATGGCAATGTCTTCAATGGAGCAGAGGCCGGCCAGTATGTGAATATCTGAAGCTTTACAACATCAAAACATAAATAAATATTAATATGTTATTTATTCTTTGTTAATTAACAAATATGACCACATTTAATGAAGTGAAATAAATGATCGTTTAAGGAAAACAAAGCGTTACAATGAACAATTGCTAGGTTGGTCTTCATCAGGATTTAAAATTGCAATGAGAAAGTGCTGTCGCATTCGCTCCAGCTTTGATATTAGGACCACAATTAATATAACTAAGTCGGAAGTGTCGTTTTTTTTTAAATAAATCGGATAAGGAAATGTGCGTCCTAATTTTGAACGCGCAAAATCTTATTACGTTTTTAGCTACTCAACTTTTTCCAACACTAAATCGTATCTTTTGCGGATTTGTATATTCTCATATTGACTTTTCTTTAATTGGATTGAACACATCAGTATTATTCATATTCACAAGAATGAGCATGACTTTTTCGATTGAAAATTACCTCGAATGAAGCACCTACTCGTATATCAAATATCATCAGTTTCAACAGCTACCGAATTAGGAGTGCTTACAGCTGATTTCTCCTTACAAATGCGATTATTCACGGATTACAACTGACATAAATATTTTTTTGGCTACTTTTAATTAAATATTAGTAGGTTGTAGAAATTATTTTACAGAGTGATTCATTAAAATCAAACAATTGTTTTATATTGGAAAGCGCTTTCTCGATGGTTTTTAATTATACGCTCTTTTTCCTTTAGTGCGGGTTTGAATAATTCTCTTTTCTTCATTAAACTATTTAAATTTACTTTCTACTGTCCAAGAATTTTAATCAGAAATGAATCACCATGTTTAATCATTACTCATCGTAGTTTCAGTATAAAACTATTTGCAAGTAAAATTATTTGATGAAATAACGTAGCTAATGAGAAAAAGCTTGCTTTTATTTATTAAAAACATGTTCATTCGTTGCCCTAAAAATATCTCAATTTATGGCTACCGATAGACCATAAGGCATAGTCTCGGCATGGGACCCGATGCACATGTTACAAGCAGGGGGTCTTATTAACGAGTAAAATTGTAGATAAAACTACAACTTGATTTTGTTATTAATTTGCATATGTAATGTTTGCTATTTTATTGCCCAGTAATTATCTTAATTTTGTGCTGGAAAGAAACATTAAATTTCAAGTAAATTTAGTTAGAAAAATAATGGAGCTACACGGGCTTATAGTGGGGATAGTTGAAAACCGTCGAACTAAAAAGCCAGGGAAGGGTAACGAGACGTGAAAAATTGCAGGCAGCTAAGCAAAGAACCGGTGGCAATATGAATGAACACAACCATAGTGAAACGAAGCTACTGTTCAAATTATATAACAATTCTGCAGCTTTTATATTCGATCTTAAAGTTTGTGTTTTACGCTTATTTATCGTTCTATTACGCCTAGTCCAGTAAATCTGTTAACAACATCGATCCTACATGCGTCTGAACATTGGCTGAAGAAAAATTGGCTGATAATAATACGTTTGAAATTCGCTGATACCAATTTAGACTAGACAACAAAGATGCATTTTGCATTCATATCATACCCTTTTGAAGAACCGATTCACCTTCCAATTTGAAGAAATAATGCCCAAATGAAAAGAATTTTCTGAGAACGAGTTTGCTCGCCATATAATCAGAATTTTTCGCACCGTGGGAAACAAACCGGATTGAAGATCTCTTCTAAAATAAATTAGACCATAATCTCAGATTCGTGTTCACTTAAATCACGCGTTGATAATTAGAATTTAAGCCAATCAATTACGAAATTATCTTACGGTTAAATCGTGTTAATTTTACTTAATGTGCGCCGTTCTGGTAGTTTTGAAGGCTTTCGTTGGTTGGGTAACACTTTATAAATAATTGTATCTGTTAGTGAAATTGGAACGATTCAAAAACTATAAAATATCCGAAAATAAATTGTGCAATTCATGCTAAAACAGCAAACTGTGCATTGAACGCAGTCGAAAACTCAAGATTAGATTTGAATAGATTAATTAAATTACACCCCCACGAAAGTTCAGCCACAATATGTCTCAAGAACACACATACCAAATTGTGTGTGATTGTGTCGGCTCAAGTGAATGAAATATTATACTCAAAGAACAAAAGGTATATTCGGTATAGCGACAAGGACTTTTACAAGCCGTTGATTCAGGGGCAAAAGCAAATTTCTACACCTTATATCCGGTTTCCGGTCTGGACGCACGTGCATGCATAAGTGCATATAGCTGAAATCCTCCTTTTCTGGATACTTCCTTCACTATTCATGAACCAAGTAGAAAAAGATACTTCACATCGTATTACTCCGTTCATTCTTTCCGCTTTAATACTTTTTTGGCACATTTTCATTTATGAACGAAAACTGTAAGTTTTTTTGGTGAATAACCCCTGAAGCTGAGTAAATTGCTGCAGTCATCCAGGGATCGATTGAAACCGTTTCCATTCGCTTTGTACTTCATTTAAATTTTAGTCTAACAGAGGGTTGAAATTAACTGACACAATGAAACGGACAGTTTAATTCCCAGGGCTGTATAACACAGAATCATTGTTTTTATCCGCATGGAACAATATTCATTTGCAGCAAAATATAATATTGCCTTAGAATTTGTTCTATAAAAATAAAACGTTTTTAATTTGATTTTCTTGATTGATAAAAATATATTCTTAGAATGTTTTGCTCTTGTCCTGTATTTTCTTAGATATTGATTCTAGGAGGAAAAACCGAAAGTTGCAGCGCTAGAAGATTTTGATACGTATTTTATTTTAGTTACGCAAAATTTCAAATAAAGGAGTGAAGATACAGTTCTAGGAGTATTTCGGGCTTCCTGCGACACATTTGAGATTGTATTTCATGTTCCGAAATTTAATTGCTGCTTTAGATTTATTGTTACTAAATTGTAAATAAGTTACATTTTAATAGCAAAAATAATTTTTTTACGCTTTTTGCGATGTAACTATTTAATTATGTACCCAAATTGTTTGTCTGATTGATTACCAGTTCTGAAGATCGCAGTTATTATAAGTAAAACGTCTACACAGTGATTTTAACTATTATTAACAGTCAATAAAATTTCCAAATCATTTAGGAACAAAACTCAAACATCAAAATGTAGGTTTCTAACTGCAAATTTTGTATTCGATATTTTTTCTGGATCGATACTCACGAATAAGCGATGGAAAAATTATAATGAAATACAATATCCGTACTATTAATTACATCAACCAACAATAAATTCCTTCAAACAATCAATTCTGAATACAGTTAGGTAACGGAAGGGAAAAATCTAGATCTGATTATTTATTAAACAAAGGTAAGTAATTAGTGCGTATTATGGTTTCCGCCCATCGGTGAACATCGCTTAAAACTTACCGGATAGAACATCTCCCACGTATGTAAATGAACAGTTACCGGTTCATGTAATGAAATGGTAATTATCATTACACATATAAAGTTGTACAGTCTATATAGCTTCCTATAAAACCACATCTTCGCGGAAATTGGACGCATTAATTAAACGAGATTTTATTCTGCAAAAATCGGTTATAGTAAATATTAGTTTAAGATTAATATAAGGATATCATATTAAAACGTGTTTTGCGCTTCATAATGTTCAAACATCTACATACATAGCGAGGCCGTAACTTCAGTTACTAGAAGTAAAAATTGGAAAGAACACTTTTAAAGCCGTGGATGATAAATTGGATTTGTTCAAAAAAATGGTTGTTAAGCAATCAATCATACTTTGAGAAATTGCTTAATAATTTATGGTGTATTTAACATTTTCAATAAATATGAAAAATCACAGCAAAATTTTTCAATAACCATAATTATTGTGATGATTATTTATGTGTGTTCGAAACTACCCATAAATATTTTTGGAGAAAAATTATTAATTACGGCTTGCGAAATTGAACAATTTCAAATTCACTATTCATACTCATAAACTACATTTACACAATCGTTTTTGGAATTTTAGGAGAACGATCCACATTTCAACGATATTGCACCCCACATGTCATCCCACGCATACAAAGGACTGCGGGGGATAAAATTCTAAATTAAGTCGTTGGAAATGCGTAAGCAAATGGAAAATCCCTCGTGTATTTTTATGCCCTTGCATGATCACATGTTGAAAAATTCGGTACATTGATCGAGCTTTCATTATAAGCACAACGTTTATCAATAATAAGTATTTAGAATAGATAATCAGTTTTTTACAAATTTTTCTCACAAATTAGAAGAGTTTCCCAACGACGAAACCCATTAACCAGATTTTAAGTCGCATTCCGCGAAGGATTTCAGTTCTAATCAAACACCTGAGCAACATTCCGAAAATAAAAGCCTAATGATAACAGAGCAAAACCAGCCAGCTAAATACATTTTAAGATCTTTTTGATTATAGGCCTACATTTTCCCATAAACTTCTCGAATGTGTTGCTC